AGGTATTATTTGATGTGATTAATTAAAAGTTATAATTAATGAAAGAGCAATACCGTGTGCAAGGCGTGCCGTTACATCGGTGCGTGAAAACAACTATCATTATATGAAAGTGTGGAAAATATTCCGTAATACTTCACATGCATTCCATTGCGGTAGCGGTAGTAGGAATCCATTGTCTGTGTTGAGAATTAGTCTTTTTGTTTCTATATTGATTCTGGAGATAGTGATAATGATTACATTAAGAACTCGTCATCATGTTGCTTCACTCACTGGTTCACTTGAAGTGCATAACGGTTCTCTTTTTTGCACATTGACAATGATGACTGGCTTGTGGAGATGATTTCCGGGTATCTTAAAGGCCTTTTTATTCAGTTTTGATGTTCACTGTTAAAAGGACAAACATGTAATTAATAGGTTTGTAAAAACTTCAATAGTAGCACGGAGTCTGGAAATGTGCCCGTTATATAGCAATAGACTCACCCCCTATTACATGGGACTCCCAATTATATAAATAATGAAAAGTGGGTGTTACATTGTATAGTGGCAAGTGCCGTAACGTGCACCTCTGCCTACCTCTTCGAGGATAAAAGGCTGTTACCTGCATGCAACCTGTTATGTTATGTTATGTTATTTGTATAAAACTATTTTATAAAAAAAAATAAACAATCAAGCACAGAAATTTTAGAACTCTATCTAACATTGGTTTTAAAATGAAAACAATCAGGCTCTCGGACTACAATCCAAAGCGATTCTGCGGAAACTTGTAACTCAATCCAACTGCTAGAAGATTTGAAAAGTGATTAGAAGAACTCTGGCGACGCAACACGTTAAATGTTGTATGAAATGAAGCAACAAGTCATATTATCGTTAAATACAAAATTAAATATCGGATTGTAGATATTATTTCAACTGTCAAACACCAAGCGGTCACCGGTGACCGCAACCTATTGTTCTATAATGACGGTACTCGACGAGTTAATTTTGACAAAATAATTTGATATTGAAAAACTGCCTCGTTGGCCGAGTGCTCGCAAGCGTGACTGCCGAGCAAGGCGTTTCGGGTTTGATTCCCGGGTCGAGCAAAGTACGTATTACTAGGTTATAAAAAAATCTCAGTAGTAGCACGGTGTCTGGAATTGTGCCCGGTATATGGCAATAGACTCATCTCCTCTCATTCATCACATGGGACTCATAACATAAATAGTGAACAGTGGGTGTTACATTGTACAGTGGCATAATATGCACCTCTGCCTACCCCTTCGGGGATAAAAGGCGTGGTGTTATGTTATATAATTTAATATTGAATAACTAAGTGATACGTGCATGGTCTCCTTGAATTAATTAATATTATAACTGGTCTTTTTATACATTTCATTTTAGCTTACTTAAACGTTACAAATACCTATATAAGTAATAGCCATATCAATACAAAAGATCAATTCTCGTATCAAAACTATTTGCTCACATCAGAAACGCTCTATATAAATCAAATCGATATAATGTCGATCAAAGACATAATTCTATTAATAATTAGTTCATTTTATCATCTGCAATCTAATTCCAATATCAGATTCCGTTGCGCAAATTCAAAATGGCTGTCGAACTTTATTTTTTATGAGAGCAGTATTGCAACATGTGATTTAGAGCTGTTACAAATCAATGTTATGCTACGGTTGACATTTTATTACTATAACATATTTGCATAAATAGCTGTAAGTCTGATTTGAAATGTTGCCTCGAAGGTAACTGTCAAATGGATTTGTCCATTGTGATAAGAGGATTGTGTCGGCTAATGTTTTAATGTCATGTGTGTGATGGAAACAAGCTAATCATGCTAATAATACTATGCTGCACACGAAGAGCCTTAGAAGAAAAGGGTTATATATTTTTTTTTAAACAACGTTTTGCCTCACAATAGGATTTTCTCCTGTGTCGTGGGTGTGTTTACAAGCACACATGTTCACATACACAATGACACCCAGACCCGAAACAACAATTTGTGGATCACACAAAGTATTGTTCCGTACGGGAATCGAACCCGCGACACGTTGCACGGTAGCCGGTTGCCCAGCCACCGCGCCAACCGTGCAATTGAAAACTTGTTGTAAACATGTCATAAAAATATACACAAGAAATGATAAAATTGTGATCCAATAACTATATTTACTTTTGCAAAATTACGAGGTAGACATATTTGTAAAGTAAAGTTAATAACCATATTATCAAGCAAGTTGACTGCCTCGTTGGCCGAATGGTCGTAAGTGCGACTGACGGGCAAGGGGACTCGGGTTCGATCCCCGAGTCGCGTAAAGTATTACTGGGTTTTTAAAAAATTCTCAGTAGTAGCACGGAGTCTGGAATTGTGCTCGGTATATGGCAATAGGCTCCCGCCTATTACATGGAACTCGTAACATAAATAGTGAAAGTGGGTGTTACATTGTACAGTGGCATAATAATATGCACCTCTGCCTACCCCTTAGATAAAAGGCGTGTTGTTATGTTATGTTATCAAGAAAGTTTAGAATATTGTTACATATGTACGTATACTTACTCTCAGAAAACCATAAATACCAAAAAATATCCAAAAAAAAATTACCTCAAGCCAATGTAATCAATTTAATGTGGGTTTGCACTTGCAGAAAAACAGTGCAAGAACTAGGAATACTTATAAACTAGAATGTTATGCAAATCGTTCATAAGTTGGATGTTCATTACCTATGTACTTACGTGGAAACTTTTCATTGATTACTCGAAGCCAGACTTGCTTTAAGTTAAACGACGTTATATAAATTTGTCAGACAGACTGAGTTACGAATTGCAAGCAAATATGTAAGTCTAATTTGTACTGCGCCAATGCTTTTTATAATATTGTAGATTTTAAAGACACTTTCGTAAACTTATAATGGAAGGACTGTCATAAGTACTTGCGACTGTTTTTCTTGTGTTGCATACTTTTTACTTGAGTGCTTCATAAGAAAAAATATTGTAGTACAGTTGTTACAATTCTTTGACTTAGTAAATACTTCATACTAGAAATAATTGTTTATAATAATGTCA